TGTCGTGAAGAATATTTTTTTTTTTTATTTACTGAAGATATTTGTTTTAGCTCATAAAATTCATACAAATTACCCGGCCAGAATATAATTTACATTGCTGGAATTCTTACAATTTGATGATCATTTTGAATATAAACATCATAGATTTTGCATTAGACATACAAATTTTAGATGTAATGTTTAATCTGAGTAAATATGTTATCTTTTGTGAAAAATATATGACATTTATATTCAAAATATTCCTGGTCTTACAAGGAATCCAGCAATGTCAATTATATTATCCTAACTTTAGTTTGAGGTATTATTTATTACTATACCTGGTTTTCCCCCCAAAATTTCTCAGAGGGAAGAGCCAGCAGTGTAGTGTGAGAAGAGGGGAGGGAGTCGTGTCCATTATTTGAATGGACATTAACTTGGCGACTGTATTTCTCTATTTCTCTTAAGTATTAATTGTGTGCATGTACCATCATAAAATTAAGATGTTATTTTTACTACAACATAGTTATGTGTCGTCAAAAAGTGGAGTTTGGGGATCGGCCTGGACTCCATTTCAATTAATCCCATATGTTATGTTATTCACTTTATGCGTTTCTCGCTTTCCGCGGTACCCTCCGGGTTACATTAACCGCGTAAAGTGAGGGTTAACTGTACTATACTGTATAAATATATTTCACCGTTCACTGTATAGTACAATGCCCCTTGCCACTATGGTTGACTGGTTTGACAACATCAAGGTGATGTTTTACCACCGAACACCACTGTGCTGCTGCAGCCCCTTGATCAAGGTGTGATAGTGCAGGTGGTGACAGAAACAGACAGTGGTGGGTTGTCTGTAAGAGATGTCTGAAAAGCCTACAACATCAAGAAAGACCTTGACAACTTCGCACAGTCCTGGTAGGAATTGTCACCTGCTATGATGAATGGTGTGTAGCGACGGCCTTGGCCTGAGGCTGTTCCTAGCTTCAGGGGCTTCAACCATGAACCAGATGTCCCTGAGGTCACCAAGACAATTGTCTCTCTGGCCCAGCAAGCTGGCTTCGATGGGGTCACAGAAGAGAGGACATCACTGAGCTCCTTGTCTCTAATGAGGAGGAGCTCAGCAGTGAGGACCTGCTGGAGCTGGAGGAGCAGAAGAAAGTGCAGGAAGCATAGGACCACGAGCTAGACTGTTTTTGACCTTGACCCTGATGGTGACTGTAGTTTCAAGTTTAGGAATGGCCTCGAGGATTTGTCCAACTGCTACAAGGAGCTTCACCGTCAGAAGAAAGAACAGGCAAAGCAGGCCAAGGTCACGGATTTCTTGAAGCCTATCATTAAGTCTCGGCCAGATGAGCCTCAACAATCAATTTCTGTCGTCTGGTCATTTTTTTATGAAGAAAAAGCATCAGTCAGCCCCTCTGCCAAAGTCTCCACCTGCATTCATTGGGTTTGAGGACCCTGACAACCCTACACCATTCATCCAGTAATTTTTACCCCGGCCAACATGTTCTCCCAGCTTTGGGGATGAATGCTGACTCAATGTTCAACACAGCTGAACACAATACAGTAAGTCCTCACTTAACGTCGCAGTTACGTTCTTGAGAAACACAACTTTAACAGAAACAACATTAACGGAATCAATTTTCCCCATAAGAAATAGATACAATAAGGTAGATACATTCCCCAGCCTCCCTTTGCCCCATAAAATACATTACATATACAGCTCCACCCCGACTTATGACCTACTCAACTTATAACCACTCGCACTTACGATCTGCCTCAGTCGTACCAAAATTTTGTCAAATTACGTATTTTCGAGTCCCAACGCCAGTACACAGAGAAAATTTTCGTTTGTAATTCACTTTAAAGTGCCTGGCAAGCTTAAAAGGGAGAGTTTTGTGGTGCTGAGAAGAAAAAGAGACACCCATTTTAGATTTTCTATGTATTATTTAAGCATTTTCGACTTACGACCTGGATTTGGGTCCCTAACCCCGTCGTAAGTCGGGGAGGAGCTGTACATAAATTCAATGGGATTTTTATAGAAAATAGTATATATTATACATCCAAAAAGATAAATAAATTAAATCATTTTGTATCGTGCTCATTGATGGGCGGAGGTGGAGTGAGTGTGTGGTGGGTAGTGGAGAGGAGGAGGGTGGCGAGTCACTGAGACCTGGAGGGTTTAAAACCTCCATTTTCGAAGCAAGGCTAATGGTCTTGCATTACTTCTTTACAACACTAGCATCACTAACACTTAATGGGCGCTTGAAAGCCATTTCGAATGGTTACAGTACCTGTACAGTAATTAGAGCAAAAACACTTTAACACACACGTACGCTGTGGAAGCCTAACAAAGACTGGGGACGCTGTGGCGCTCCACGGGAGAGCGTAGCACGCCAAGATGGGAGAAAGCGATGCACCATATAAAGTAGTCCGTGACGACGTTATAACGAATCAGTCGGGACGTTGTCGGAATCATGGGTATCTAAAGCGTAGCGATGTTATAACGAAACAACTTTGTCGGGGGCAATGTTAAACGAGGACTTACTGTACAGTAAACCCTTGAAGATCCGGACTCGGTAAATCCGGAAGATTCAGACAAAACGTTTGGGTGTTCTGGGCTCAGAAGCATTCCCAAAACAGGGTGAAGGCTTAAAAGTTTTTATCTTATAAAATGTCACAGACTAAACTTAGCAGATATAACTTGCATTGCTGGAATCCTTGCAAGATAATGAAGAATTTGAGTATAGACATCACATAGTTTGCACAAGAGATAAAAATTTTTGTCCTTTAGTGTAGTACATTTGAGTACAAAGTGAGTACAGTGATATCTCCATTAGCTGGAACAGTTGGTGTAGAGCACTTCCGGGAATAAGAGACTTCCAGGTAACGAGACGACTCTCTCAAAGCCGGAAAAAATCCCTCATTCCTGAAATTTTCCGGGTGACGGGAAAAATCCTCAGAAGTTCCAGAAATTGCCCACTACATCATATTTCAAACCCAGAAAAATATTCTCATCCCCGGAATTTTCCAGAATTTTCCGGATACCGGAAAATTCTTCTTGGAATTTCCAGAAAATCCGCCTGATTTTCGTCTCTCAAACCCAGAAAAAACTCCCCCCGTCCCCAGAATTTTCCGGGTATCGGGAAAATTTTATCAGAATTTTCCAGAAAATGTGTTCTTCGGAAAATCGTTCCCAAAGCCGGAATTTTCCAGAAAATTCCCGCTTTGGGAACGATTTTCCGAGAAAATTCTAATTCCAGCTATCAGAGTTCCGGGTTTGAGGGATTCCGGCTAATGGACATACAGTGATCCCTCGGTTAACGAATGCCTCGGTTAACGAAATTTCAGTTAACAAATTACTTTCCATAAGAAAATTAAATTTGGTTAATGAAAAAAAATTTGGTTAACGAAATTTTTACGAAATTGTGTCAACGTGTTTTCGTTTGTTCACCAGCTGGAATATTAGTTCGCCAATACAGTAATCGGTTTTAGGGCTTAAATTCGTTAAAATTTGAGTATATATCAAGAAGGTTGTACTATTCAATAATTTTCCAAGTTTTATATAAAATTTTTAGTCATTTTAACACATATTTAACATAATTGCAGTACAGGGAACTTGTTTTTGATACGCCAATCAGCCACTCAACTCACCCAACAGGCATCAGTTTGTATCTCTGGTCAGTGGAGGTAACATCTTGCTTGTTGCCTCTCATGAACTTAAACTATTTTTACGTTTTTACAGTACAATTATTGGTCATTCTGAAATTTATTTTACATATTGACAATATATAGTGTAGTGCAGTGTTGATTTAAAGAAAATAATCTTGAATTACACCAAGTGAACTTAAAATTTTATGGGTGAAATGACGGCATGAAGCATGGGGTGATTTCTCTTCCACCACCACTTCCTTCTCTTCTCCTCCACCCGCACTTCTAATTCCCATCATCATCATCATCATCATCATCAACAACCAGGAGCCTTCTACATACACACCTCAAAGTAAGTGTACTTTACTGCATTTATTTGTACTTTGTATGTAATTTTCGGTGAGCTGGAACCAATTACCCAAAATCCCATTGAAGCAATGGTTTCGGTTTACGAAATTTTCGGTTAACGAACGACCTTCTGGAACGAATTGTGTTTGTTAACCGAGGGACCACTGTATTACTGTACAGTAATACGTTGTTCAAAATTATGGCTTTTTCACGGGTAAAAGTGTGTATAACTAACCCCAGTAGTCAGGTGTTTTTTATATCATTATTTATTGTTTTTATGTATTTAGTACATTTGCTTGAAGATTCGGACAGGTGGTCCCCCTTTTAGTCTGTATCTTCGAGAGTTCACTGTAGTTACCGTACAATAATTAGTGATATTTATCATGAATTTATTCAACGGTGTATGTCTGGTACATTTTCTTGCTTGTCAGTATGGACAACTGAGATGTATCAAGGGTAGTTGGGAATTTTTGTAGGGTGGCCAGTCCCTAACCCCCTGAATTTGTTATATTCTGATGGGATTAAATGCTTTGATAATTATCATTGATTCACTAACCAACGATTTTTTTCTGTCTCCATATGTGTCTGTTATCGAGGTACACCTGTACAGTATTTTATTTACCTGATGACTTAATTTTTACTTTAATTTACTGTATTGTGTAATGTATTTCTTTTCTCTTAAATTAAGTAATTTTAATTGCATATAAGGACTTGGGGTTTTAAACATTGTTCTGTAAATACGCTATGTGATTCGACTTAAGTACATTTTCGACATACAGTAAGGTGTCCATAGGAATGGAACTCGTTTGTAACCTCGGGACTGCCTGGAAATATGTAAATGTTAGTTTTATAGGAAAGATCGAGTTCAAATTAAGAGGGTGTCAAAATTGGCAATTTGAGCAACATTCAATAAACTGGCACTTCTTGAAAATCCAGTATGGTCTCAGTCCAGGGGAATCTGTGTATTAAAGAGTTTTTATATGAAATGCAACCTATAGAAGTGTGGAATTAATCTATTATTATATTTTCCATTTTATTTCAGGAGTGCCTAAAACCTGTAATGTATTCAGACAATGAAGAAGAAAAAGCAGTGAGTCGCAATGTTTTGTACATTGCCTTGTATGTGGGTTTAACCCTAATTTCCCCCTTCATGCCTTACCTGTCTGAGGAGTTGTTCCAGCGTCTCCCGCCACGTACGACCAATCAGCCACCATCAATATGTGTCACACCATATCCAGAGCCTGAAGAGGTAGGTTTCATTTGTCTTTAGAACAATGCTTATTAATAATTTCCCTTTAAATATTTAGTTGGGCTTCATTAGATGACCCACATTGGATCCTCATTTGCCATAGTTATGATTAATTCATGATAATTAAAATTAAGTTTGATTCATTATACTGAGGGTCTGAATACTGACTATAGGTTACAAGGATGCAGAAGCAACCCTCTGCCATTCCAGCATTAAAATACCCATTAGTGGGACATTACCACATTCTCCACTTTACCCGAGTGTGCATAGATGCTCTTAATGTAAAAAGTGTAACTCCAAGCCTTGAATTGAACTGGCTCATTTTTGAGGGTAGCATGTATTGAAGAGAGAGAGAGACAGAGTGAGTGAGCAAAGGAGGGAGGGAGCAAACAAGTGAGGAAACTTATGTGCTTGTGTGTTTCAATATTTGAATGTCCTTCTGCACCTGGTAACTCTGAAAATTAAATCTGGGATGATAATTTTATTGATGTAAGTGCTGAGGATGATGCTTTATATTCAGCTGGACCTCTTTTATCCCAAACTGTCAGGACCACAGGTGGTTTAGTTTGTCATATATAATAATTAAGCAATATACCTCTGACCCACTAGCTATACACATCCCAGTATCTTTAAAACACCATGGCTGCTAGAAACTTAAACAAATATTTGATGTAAATTAAATGATTAAATGAAATACAGGCTGTATAAATGATGCAGATTTATTAATTACTTACAAAGAATGTTGCAGTACTGCTGCTCCCAGAGTGGCAATTTGTATACCTGTATTCCCTTTATGTGTTTTCCCTTAAGACAATTATTTCTTTTACCTGTATTGTAAATATACAATCAGAAACAAATGTATTAAAATTTTGTGAGTCTACCCTCAAGTCCACTCCGTGCTTTGTTATTAGTAACAAAGCACGCAATTTACTTCATGGTAGACTCACGTTTTTAATACATTTGTTTCTGATTATTTGTGAGAGGATTTTCCCATTATTACTTATTTGTATGTGTTTTGTGTGTGTGTGTGTGCCTACACACACACACAAACAATACAGGTAAAGTAAATTATTGTCTCTCAAATGAATGGCTCCCCTGTCCTGGCTGCAAAAATGCCAGCAACTTTAAAACTACCCTCAGACATTCTTGGGTACATCCAGGGTGTCATCCACGAATATTCGAGGTCCACGAATTAAATATCCGCAAATTTGAAGGGCATGTTGTATTTTTATATGGTATAATAAAAAACTTAAGTTTAGCATGCTCACAGTACTTATTTTAAGCTTTTATAAGAACATTATAAACCTTTAGATATGTCTCTCAGGGGTCACTTCCTCAAACCCCTTATTTCCCATTAGACTGAGCCCCTGCCATCCATGGTTTTGCCAATTGTGGGAGAATCCTAAGAGAGCAACCCCCATCATTGGCAAGGGACTACTTTATTATACACACTGTGCTCTCCTTTCAGTATGATGTGTTCCTAGATGAGGAAGTTGATGAGAAGTTCAAGTTTGGCCAGAAGGTGATCAGTGAGGTGAGGTCAGCCAAGGCCAAGTATGACATTCCCCACAAAGTCAAAATTGATTGTAAGTTGTTTCATTTAATGTCTTTTAGAAACTTAGAATATTGAGAAATTATCATTTGTGGAAGATAGAAAACTGGATAGTTAATTTCAGTAAAAACAAATTGGTTGTACATATTTGAGAATGAAAATTGTACTGTCAATATGGAATTGGTATACAGGTTGTACCTCTCTAGTCTGGCATTCTGTGGTCCGGAACGATTTTAGTTTGTCCAATAGGTAGATAGGCAGCTTTTTTTTTTTTTTTTTTTTTTGAATTATTATTATTATTACAGGAGTATTAAATTTTTGCCCCTCAGGCCCCAATGTGGGTCAGTGACCTATGCCCGGGTGGGCTAATCCCCTTAAAAAAAAAAAAGCCGCGGGAAATTAAGGTTTGTTTACATCCGGCAGTTCGGCTGCTCTCTCTCTTTGCTTGTCTATACAGAGTACAACATTTAACCCTTCAATATATATGAGCAGTAAATAAGTGTTGCTTTCATATTCTTATGTAGAGTAATGATGATATATTTTCACATGTGCGCACTTACATACGAGCAGTCTCACTTTTTTTTTTTACCATTAATGGTTAGCTACTTACAGTATATTGTTCCATTTATTAACATTAAATAACATTACAGGTACTTCAAGCAACCATATTCATTTTTTAAATTAATTTTACTACAGCGAAACTCAGGGTCTTATTTTCTTCAGTTTTATATGTAGAACCAATCAGTCACTGGTTTCGTAAGCTTTAACATAAACAATGCCGGCAGCGGTCTCGTCTCCTCTAATATTCCACGTATTATTAATAAATTGTATTGTTAATTTTGCACACACGTACATTAATTCAATAAAAACAAATTCAGAAACATTAATTAAAATATATATGAACAGTAAATAAGTGTTGCTTTCATATTCTTATGTAAAGTAATGACGATATGTTTTCACGTGTGCGCATGCGCACTTACATATGCGATCTCTCTTTTTCTTTACCATTATCGTTAGCTACTTCTATTGTTCCATTTATTAACATTAAATAACATTACTTAAAACAACCATATTAATTTTACTACAGCTACAACCAAGGTCTTATTTTCTTCAGTTTTATATGTAGAACCAGTCAGTCACTGGTTTTGTAATCAACGAAAACAATGCTGTGTCATTTCCTCATGTGTTTTAATTTTCTACGTATTATTAATGAATTGTATTGCTCATTTTGCACACATAAACATTAATTCAATAAAAAAGACATTCAGTAATAAACAATAATGAATCTTTTGTACATAAGAGAAATGACGCTGTTTACACGATTATGCACGTCGTCTGCACGTTGGCGGGCCGTTCAAGCCCGTCGAAATTCAAGTTTCCGCCGTCAAAATTTTTATTTATTTATTTTTTTGTGTGTTCCAATAAAATACATTAAGAATTAAAAACTCGCAAAATTTGAGAAGCTACTATACGACATTTAACCCTTCAATATGTCTTCAAAGAGACCATGACGCAGAGAAAGTGGTGCTAGTGCTTCCAGGCATAAGCACAAGTCATTATCTATCCAGGAAAAGGGTGAATTTCCATGGTCCGGCACCGGTCAGGTCCCGAGGTTGCCGGACTAGAGAGGTACAACCTGTATTATGATATACAGTATTACCCCGCTTTACACGGTTTCACTTTCCGCGATTTCTCATTTCCGCGGTACCTAGCCAGAACCAGACTTTCACTTTCCGCGGTGCATCTACTCATATACGCAGTGAAGTATAATTTTTTTTTTTTTTTTTATTTAGCTCATAAAATTCATACAAATTACCTGGCCAGAATATAATTTACATTGCTGGAATTCTTACAATATGATGATCATTTTGAATATAAACATCATGGATTTTGCATTCGACATACAAATTTTAGATCTAATGTAATAATTTGGTTTACACAAAGCAAATATTTTATCCTTTGTGCAGAATATATGAAGTTTACATTCAAAATATTCCCTGACCTGCAAGGAATCCAGAAATGTCAATTATATTATCCTAACTTTAGTCTGAGTTATTATTTGTTCCTAAAAATGTAAATATACTATTTTCTCCCAATCGCTTCTCTGGTAGGGAGGGAGGGACCACCCAGCTAGGGCGGAGTATTTTGATTGACAGATAGTGTCCTTGAAGAATATTTCTTTGTTTATTTACTGAAGATATATGTTTAAGCTCATAAAATTCAAACAAATTACCCGGCTAGAATATAATTTACATTGCTGGAATTCTTACAATATGATGATCATTTTGAATTTAAACATCATGGATTTTGCATTAGACATACAAAATTTAGATCTAAAGTAATAATTTGGTTTACACAAAGCAAATATTTTATCGTTTGTGCAAAATATATGAAGTTTACATTCAAAATATTCCCTGACCTGCAAGGACTCCAGAAATGTCAATTATATTATCCTAACTTTAGTCTGAGGTATTATTTATTACTAAACGTTAAAATCTAGTTTTTTCACCCACACATTTATCTGGTAGGGAGGGAAGGTGGGGGGGAGGGTTGGGACCGACCGACCCAGCTGGCGTGAGTGTGAGGAGGGGGGGAGGCAAGGTGGGGTACTTTGATTGACAGATAGTGTCGTGAAGAATATTTTTTTTTTATTAACAAGATATTTGTTTTAGCTCATAAAATTCATACAAATTACTCAACCAGAATATAATTTCCATTGCTGGAATTCTTACAATATGACGATCATTTTGAATATAAACATCATGGATTTTGCATTAGACATACAAATTTTAGATCTAAAGTAATAATTTGGTTTACACAAAGCAAATATTTTATCTTTTGTGCAAAATATATGAAGTTTACATTCAAAATATTCCCTGACCTGCAAGGAATCCAGAAATGTCAATTATATTATCCTAACTTTAGTCTGAGGTATTATTTATTACTAAACGTTAAAATCTAGAGTTTTCACCCAATCATCAATCAGAGAGGTAGGAGCTAGTGAGCATACCTTCATAAAATTTAGATGTTATTTTTACTACAACAGGTATTGTGTCGGAAAAAGTGGAGTTTGGGGGTCGGGCCAGTCTCTATTGGAATTAATCCCATATGTTCTCTTGTTCACTTTACACGGTTTTCACTTTCCGCGGTACCCTGTGGGTTCAATTGACAGGCGTAAATCGGGGTACTACTGTACTGTAGGTAGTTTTGATACAGACTATTATAGCCTGTGTTAGCATCCAGCAACCTTTACATTCTGAACATGTAAGATTAATATTGGAACATTGATTTGGTAAAACTAATTAATAATGAGTTTGTGAAGTAAAAGGATGTGCAAGTCTTTTATGTAGTACCCAGTAATACAGTATGATATTAGGAAAAGATCACAACAGTGTTATATATGTCAATGTCACAGTATTTTCTAATGTTCAGTTCATTTACCTGGTTATGAAACTACTGTACAGTGAGTTCTGCTATAACGCGTGTTTTGATAACGCGAATTTGCTCTAACGCGATTTATGAATTAGGAACGATATTTGTATAACGCGAACGCTTGTTTGCTATAACGCGATTTTTGCTTACTCTTTCTCCAATTTTGTGGTATATTAACTGTGAATATAGTAAAGAAGAATATCAACAAGAAGCGTTCTGGTGATGGAATTCCCGGTGATGATCGTAAAAGAAAGGATATAACACTTGAAGAGAAGCTCGATTTTATCAACCTCAAAATCACCCTTCTCCCCCATCAAGTAAAGTGTTACCCTCTAGCCCTGTTCAAGGAGAAGACTGGGAGAAGCTGTTTGGTGCTGCAGACGATGGTAAGGAAAATGATTTGGATGGATTTTAATGAAAATATTCAGAAATATGGTATCGTAGTATTTATTCAAGTCAATTAGGATAGAATATTATTGTAATACAACAGTAGTGACGATGTGGAGGAGGCGGAGGGATAGAGCGGGAAGGAGGTGACTGGCGGGAGCAGGGACGAGTGGAGATGCCAGCCAGTACATTACGGGTGTATTAATTGTTTTTATAGCTATTTTTGCATTTTAATGTTAAATACTGTACATTACGTTTCAACAAAGCTACCATTTATTTCTGAGAACATGGAAATGTATTATTTTTGCTGAAATGATGTACGTATTACAGTGGAAAGTGGCGAAAGCAATGACTTTCACTTTCTTTCGTTCAAAAGATGTTACCGTAATCGCTTTTCGAATGGTGTTCAGTTGTGGGATTATAAGGCTAATGATAGGATAGAATATTATTGTAATACAGTACGAGTACAACAGTTTTTTAACTGAAAACCATTCGAAAAGCGATTATGGTAAAATATTTTGAACAACGAAAGAAAGTGAAAGTCTTTCGTCATGATTTTATCCCACTTCCCACTATAATATGTACGTCATTCCAGCAAAAATATTACATTTCCATATTTATTTCCGAGAATATATTCATTCAGTCACAGTTAAGGTAAAATATACTTGTGATGTAATGATGTAATATTTTAATGAAAATCCAGTATCGTAGTTTTCTCTTGTTTCAAATTTAATTAACAAAGATTGATGTTTCAAATGAAATGAACAAAAATTTATGTCCAGTATCTATAAATTAACTTTAATAAATGAATACTTTGTTTTACATCGTCCTGTGCTGCCATACCATGGATTTGGCTACTTTGGGCTCGCAAGAGATCTGCCCTGGCAACTGTACCGACACTCACAGCTGGTGGTGTGTTGGTGCATCGTTTCCATTGTTTACTGGTAGTTACTGGTAAATATTTTTCAACCTAATGAAACTATTACCCGTTTAGAGGTCGACCCCCAATTTTTGCCAAATAATTTGGTCTTAAAAACTCGAACTACACACTGGTATATACGGTAAATAAGGACATGGGGGGCCAGGGATTTTTTAGGGGGGGGAGGGCAGCAATAGTACACGGATTTTTAACATTCACGGGTATCTCTGTTACCTAACCCCCGCGAATGTTAAGGGCCGACTGTATATATATATGTATATATACACAGTAGTACC